CAGCATCTGTGGATTGTGTCGCTTCTGTCACATTTTGCTAAGCTCGTCTGCAGGTGTTTGCATCACAAATCGCGCTGCAGGGCCACTCGCAGGTGCATTCATCTCGAACATACCACTGCGACTTCTGCCCACTATCATTCGCATCGCGCTCCCGCTTCGAAACTCATCGAAAGAAGCATTTTACCGAAAAAAATTTCAAATGCCAGATCTGCGACGCGAAGTTCTCAAGGTGGGTACATGAGTAAATGAGTTCACTGCTTCAATCAATTTGTTTGCGTAAATCCGGAGTCACCATGTGAACAATGAATCCATTCCTTACATGATGCGGGAAAACGCTGTGGGTAAGCGGGTTTTCATAAATTTTAAATGCTGGGGAACGGCGAAGGGCGGGGGGAGGAGAGAAGTCAGTGGAGACGGGGAGGAGGCAGTGGTTGAGGATGAGAGAGGGCAGGGAAGAAGCAAGAACGGGGACTATTTAAGTGTTTCACTAACAATGTAGTTTTTCTAAACTCCGAAGAAAGTTAATTTCTTGCAGCCAGGGCGAACTAGCAGCACATGTGGAAATGCATGGAAGCAATTTGGCGACATATTCCGGCGTATCATCATCATCGGAACTCGCGGCCAACAGAGACTGAGATTGTGCAGCAACCGTACTGGAATTCTTTTAGCGTTGTTAACATTATAGTCCGATGTTTCCTGATGTTGTTCTTATTAAATGCCTTGCATTGTTCGTCAAGCTGAATTTTATTGATGAAAGCCCCAGTCACAGTAAGAACTGTGGTGCAGTCATATCTGGCGAAAAAAGGAATCGAATAGTTCATGAAAATGAAATCTTGCCAATATGCGTTGTTATTGCATTTGCACAATATGCAAAAAACCGGCTTGAGCGATGGCACAGAGATGCCTCCGTACCTCATTTTAGAACACAAATCGTTGTGGACATAAGCCGGAACGCCTTAGAAGTCGAGACAATCGGCTACCGCAGATCATATATACTTTCATCGTCGTTTTTGTGCTATTCACCTAAGTATAATTTGGAGCAATATTCGTCATCTTTTCATATAACGCGGAAAAATAGACATTTCCCGCCTTGCAGAACTCGGGTGAAGGCATTTTTACGCATTGTTGTACCCTGCACGGGTTATTGATGATTTCTTGCTTTGTACCAACCAGTGCATTACTTTTTTTTCGTCCTACTGTTTTCTTTTTGGCGTTGCGGCCGACCACAATAAAGTCTGTGTGTTGTTTTGAGCGTTTTCGACTGATATGTTCACGCTTGAGACGATTACCTCGTGCTCAGCATTCTCTTTCTTTTGATAGAACAATGCCCATGAACAATCTGCCAAGGTATGCACCAGAAGTGCGCGTAGCAATTCAGTTGTGATAAGTTGGGGCTATAGCCGTCGTACTGACTAGGTCCAGTTGTGGCGCGCAGCAGGGATGTATACGACTTCAAGGACCGAAATATTCCCGTCTTGCAGTTTTATTATAATTGAGTGCTATTTTCTTGTGTTTTAATGAAATTTATTTCTAAACCATCACGGACTGGTCGGATATTCTTTTCCACTGATTGTATCCAGTGACACGAACTTTGCGAAAAGAAGTTGAGTTTCATATAGATGTGTCCGGCGTTCAGACGTACGTAGTATCGCTGTGAGTGTCATTGAAGTGCTTGCGTTGAAGCCTCTCATCAGCCGTCTGGTTGGCTTTGTGGAGTAAGGAATATAGCACTGCTCGCTGCAAAAGAACGCGTAAATCGTGATGAATGTGTCGTAAATTCACTGGTGAAGGAGGCAATCTTTTTTGTGGGCCTAATGACTGTCCTGGATATCTTTTTTTTTGTTGCATTCATGCGACAAAAAAATGATAACGGAAATCTTGTTGATTTGTATAGTCCAACATAGTTATGTCCGCGTGAAAGTCTCGTATTCAACTGCGTTTAACTATAGAGACTTAGCAGCTGCGCGACACTGTACAGATTTAACAGAGTATTTAAGTCCGCACAGCTCCATCTTGTTAAATCTGTGGTTCAACCTTGTTAAGACTAAGTGTTCTGGGAATCTTTTAAAAAATGTAGACGATGAAAGTTTGTTTGGCACCAAAGGCCCGCCGACAAGAGGGATACAGTCGAATATTGTCAGCTGTGGGAAAGCAGGGAGTGCTGATTTAGATACCCAGATAAGCGAGCCTGTATGCGCTTTAGCTTTTGTGCTGTCTGTGTTTCATCCTTAAAATGTAAACACAGACGGCAGAGCCGGTGCGAATGGGTAAGGATCATCGGTGCAGTGCCCCATTCCACCATGTCTGAACGAGTATGTGATTTTCCGAAGGAAGATGAAGGAAAGAAGAAAGGAAGTAAAGGTGAGAGTACTTAAAATAACTGTTGCAGAAGTAGAAATAAAAGTGAAGCTAACATGCAGCAGGTACATTTCCGTCTTCGTTCTTTTCGCCGGTGGCTCAGTAGATAATGCCATTTAGGTTAAAAACCATCAATCACATTAATTAAGCGCATGTATGTTCTGTCGGTGAAATCTAAATCCAAGCGATGGTGTCCCTATTGGTTTTGTAGGTTCGTTATGGACTGACAGAAATTTCTAATTCCCTCTTTATCCACGTCAGTGAATTTGCGGCACAATTCCAGAAAATGAATTTTAAGAGAACTTTCTGTTTTTTATTAGTGTCATATCCTCGACGTTTATAGATTTTACTGAGTGGTCTGGCGTACTAAGTGAATCTGTGGATTGTACTGCAAGTGTTAACATAGCGGAGCATCTGGAACATATACCATCATATATAGTGGGGTCAGTATCAATGTCAAGGTGGCTGGCTTGGTTGACAGGGAGGGGTAAACCCAGGGTTTTATTATAAACATCAAATGTGCACCGCCCGTCAACACAGCTGATTGCCAGGTCAAGAAAACAACTCGGGATAAGTACCATTTAGTGTAAGCGTAGTTCCATAAACCTCTTTGGCGTAGTCAAGGAAATCCGGGCAATTGATAGCCAGAATATCGTCAATGTAGCGGAAGAAGCAGATCACAGTATTGGGATGTCTACGAAAGTAACGAAATTCCATTACGGATAGCGTCAGATCCGCTATGTTGGGGCTTGCGTTTCTGCCCACGGGGGCGCCTTGTATCTGTCTAAACAGATATCCTCCAAACCTGACGTAGGTTTTGGACAAAATGATACGTAGGATCGCCTTGACTTCGTCTTTAGTGTAACAGGGCAAGTCAGTACGAATTTCATTAGTGAACCTTACTGATTTGAACCCAACAGCCACATATTCCTTACACGCGTTTGAGAAACGTAGGTCTATCAAATAATTCAAATTGTTGACAACCTCCGTATGTGGCAAGTTTGTAAAGAGATTACTAAAGTCCGTAGAGTAGATATAAGTAATGGCGAAGCAAAAGCATGCAATCTGTGTAGTATTGTTTGTGAATTTGGCACGCTAGAGTATAATCTATCACCTGTAAGTTGGGCAAACTAATTGCAGTAGTTTTGGAAGTGGGCCCTGAGATGTGCAAGAATTCGATGTAGCATAATAGCTAACTCTCGTAATGAGCATTTATTAGCCGCAGCTACAAACCTATAACCATAAGGATCCTTATGCAGTTTCGGAAAAGCGCGAATTGTAGGGATGCAATCATAGAGTGCAGCGGGGGTTATTACGCAGTCGCTAGCTAAATCCGTACAGCTCCACCTTGTTAAATCGGTATAGTCCAACTTAGCTAAGTCTGCGTGAAGGTCTTGTATTTAATTCCGCGAAACTATACAGATTTAGCAGCTGTGCGAAACTGTACAGATTTATCAGAGCATTTAAATCCGTACAGCCCCACCTTGTTAAATTTGTGTAGTTCAACCTAGTTAAGACTACTTTAAGTGCGCTAGCTAAATCCGTACAGCTTCACCTTGTAAAATCTTGTTAAATCTGTCCTTAAATTTCGCGTCGCCGGACGTAGACTGAATTTATCGAGGGTCGCTGAAACGTTGGAGAAGTGATTGGTCTTTAGTGTTTGTTTGCTGCTTGCCGAAATAATTGTTTTACTTGAAATGTGCTTGGTTCGCCATGGTGCGGTGAGCTTGCTGTGTCACCGCTGCAGCTTCTGGCAGGCCGAGGGGTGCTTCCGACCCCGCGACCTGATGCCCCTGCCTCCCCTCTCCAGAACTCAGCCAGCACCAGTTACCTTTGGCGTCCGCACAAATTATAGGAGCGCCGAATTGATCAGCGAGGTTGGCACGCACCGGAGATGCACTCACGCTAGTCGCGATGTCCTCGAGAGCGGAGCCGGGGGGAACAGCGGGGAAGGGGGGGGGGGGGGGGGGGGGGGGGGGAA